TATGAAATTCACACTTGTGCTACTGTAGTCATTTTACAACTATCTAGCAAGATGGAATGCTTTGGAATTATTTGCTTCAAAGACGACCTTACAGTCAATGAGCTTACCAATGCATGGTAGAAAGGATGGCAATTTTTAAAATGGTAATAGGCTACCAACAAGGTCTCCATGACATATTCTGCATCCCTTTACTTTGTGCACTTCCAAATTTAAAATATTCACCCCAGCCTGTTATTCCACATAATAGTACCCTTCCATTTACTGGGAAAGCAGAATACCTAAAATTTCTCCTAGGTTTACTTTACATTTTCCAATATTCTGGCAGGAACCAGCAATTAAAATGTAAATGAAGCCCACAAGGATGGATGCTTGTGAAGCATTGGTTTGAGATACATGTTCACAGGAGAAAGAACTCGAAAGTATGCAATCAAATTTAAAGAGAATCTATGGCAGATGGTCTCAGAGAAAGAAAGAAATCAGCCTTTTCCCATGCAGCTTTGGAGACAGGTGTGCGGGGTTTGCTACTGCAGTTGGCATTGCTGAGAGAGAAACATCACACAACCAGGCCTTATTTCACATTCTCCTGGAGACATGTATGGGCATTTTGGGAGAATCTCAGAAAATCCTGGTGTGAGGAATTGTGTCTTTCAGCCAACCCACAGCCTGCATTCTGATGATGAATTCTAGCAGCTATAATCAGTCAGGCCAAAAAATTAAACTGAGAAGCACATCAGTGCCGTTGTGTGATGTGTTGGAATCAGTGATGTGTTAGAATCAAATCAATAGATTTGAAGTTTCTCTCTGGTGGTAGGCCACCCTGGTGTGACCTCTGACGCCTGTTCAGGTCTCATGTTTAGTGTTGACATTCTTACTGTTTTCTAAGACTTTGCTTCTCCTATGCATTTCATTATGGAATTTTTGAAGAACTATCATTGGTAACCATTTTGAAGTTTATATCCTTTATGCTTTAAATTTTCCAAACCCATATATTGTGATTTTTCACAAATGTTTTTATTTAGGTTCATAATTTGAAATTTTGTATTTATTTATATCTATTATTTCAATTTTTTTATACTTCTATTTTTTCACCTTTAATTGTGTGTGTGTGTGTGTGTGTGTGTGTGTGTGTGTGTGTGTGTGAAAATGTGAAGCTGGTCAGTGATTACTTTCTAGAACATGGCTCTGCTCTACTAACAATGCCATTTTAATCTTTTCATTATGAAAATATTTTCAAACTTTTATAAAGATTAGACATGTATTTCTAGACTCTCATATGTCCCCTTTATTCTTTTAAATTATGCATTTCTTGGGTCGCTATAGATTTTTTAATGATAAAATATTCTATCTTTGCTTTTTTAACTTCAGAATGTTGTATTCACTCTTAATCTTTTATATTTCCATCAAGCATTTAAAATTGGTTGTTCAGTTGCTATAACAATAACAAAATGTCTCCAAGGAGTTTAGTTTTGAGTCACTATCTCATTGTGCAGCCCAAGCTCTTTTTTATTGGACTTAAGTGTGCTGGCAATACCGGTGTGTTACAGGTGTCTGTTGACAAACTCTGCAGCTTCCATAGCATTGAACTCTGCAACCAGGGAAGATGCCTGGTCTAAGTGTATGTTGTAGTCATCATCATCATCCTTTTCTTCTTCTTCCTCCTCCTCCGCATTCTTCTCTTTTCCTTCTCCTTCTATTTCTCCTTCTCTACCTCCTTCTTCTTCTCTTTTTCTTTTTTGTTTTATTTTTTGTTGTTGTTGTTTGTTCATTGAGATAGGGGTTCTCTATGTAGCTTTGGAAGCTGGAATTGACTCTATAGACCAGGCTGGCCTCTAACTCACAGGCTGCTTGTGAGTGTGCACCACCACTGCCCAGCAGTGTATGTCTTCTTATCTTAACATGTACATCTGTGTAAGCTATTCTTTCAAATCTCTCAGTCAGACTTAAAATTTTTCGACATATGTTGCATATGTTTTGTCTAACTTTACTGCGTATTTTAGGTGTTTTGTGAAGGTATGATGTCTTTCAAATTTGGATATTTTATTTCTATTATGTATATGTACAAGCAATGTTTTTATTTTCCTCTTGTGCTCTTGTGTACTATAAACAATCTAAGTTCACCTACCAACTCTGCTAGGTCCTTTGTAGATTCCAACGGCTTTCCTGCGCAGTTGACCACAATGTCTGAAAAGACAGTTTTCCTCCACTGTCTCAAATGGAATGAGTTTGTTTCTATATTTCCCTTAGTACACTGATGATAGAAGAGTGCCGAATGGAAGTGTTGCAAGTAGACATTATTGTTCAATAAAGGTCAAAGTATTCCCATTTTTGTGATGATATATATTTATCTATTTTATGTGTGTGCTTCCAGTGAAGCTGTTCATTGTAAGGGCTAGGAATTCCCTTCTATTATATCCAGTTTTGGAGAGCTTTCCTAAGCTCTTTTATTTAGTTTTTTTTTTTTTAATTGTCTAGACTGAGCTGGAGAACCCCACAGAAACAGAATGCTGACCTGAACAAGGGGGAGCTCCTGGACTCCAGTCTGATCGCTGGGAAACCAGCATAGGACCCACCAAGTCCCCCTGAATATGGGTGTCAATAAGGAAGACTGGGCAGTCTATGGGGCCCCTGGTAATGGATCAGTATTTATCCCTAGTACACCAATGAACTCTGGGAGCCCATTCCACATAGAGAGACATTCCCTTAGCCTAGACACATGGGGGAGGGCCTGGGCCCTGATCCAAATGATATGACAGAATTTGAAGATCTCCCATGGAAGGGCTCACCTTTCCTGGGGAGCAGAAAGGGGATGGGATGTGGGTTGGTGGTAGTAACAGGGGAGGATGGAAGGGTGCAGGAACTGGGATGACATGTAAAACAAGCTAGTTTCAAATTTAAATTAAAATAAAAATAAATTTATTCATGCTTTGAAAACAAAAGAAATAGCATTTGTGGGACTTCTTAAAGCAGAAAAACTCCTTTGAAAATTATATAGTGAATGTTCTAGAAATAAAATATGGTTGGCTTCAGCAGCAGCAACAACAAAAATAGTCTAGTCATCAGTTTTTTTTTTTTTAACTTGCTAAAGTGGCCAATCATAGAAATCCTTAGGTTCTATCTCCACACACTTCCATTCCTCATGACAACTCCACCTATTTGTAATGTACTAATTTTGAATATGTTACTATATATGCCTCCCTGGCTTTTTATTAAGAAAATGTCACATGTCTGATAATGAGAGCAGTTTTAAGTTTTCCTCTGGGTTTTACACTGAGGTAATTCTAGCCTTGTAGAGTAATAACTTTCAAGTTCAATGATGAGAAGACTCTAAAGTGAGAGGAGAAGTATAAGGCAAAGAATTATTCCTTAATAAAAGGAGGGTATTCTTCAAGCTGAATAATTCCCTAACTATAATATGGATAAGAACCCCCTGAAAATTCATTGAAATCCACTTTGTCTATTAGATGGTCCAACATGGATACTATAATGATCTCTTACAAGGAAACAAATCTAGGTGTTATGAAGCAAGTGATTCATGTGCTGTACATTCCTCCTCCACTCAGTGTTTCATAATGTCACCTAAAATTCACAGTCACCTAAAATTTTTCAAAAGTCAAAAGTTCTGTACAAACCGAGGTATGTTATTCAGTAACGCACCAGGAGCAAATGAGGGTCACATGAACTCTACTAGCTTCCAAGGCGACTGAAAAGCATGCTGAAATTTGAGGAACCACTAATTAAATTAATGAAGAGGGAGGGAGGAAGGCACAGAGATTAGAAAGAAATGGAGGGAAGGAGAGAATGAATAATAAGAATAGATGTGTTAATTTTGTATGCTTTACTTTAGAAGGTTGGAATAATTTCTCAGATATTTCATTTTCCTTTGGACCTGTGAAATATCTGAGAATAAGGGAAAATTCAATGGGTCATATGTTTGAGTACATTTGATGTGGGTGAATGAACTTGGGTATGTGAACTGATGACATTGTCTGGGACTTGATGCTCACCAAAGAAATCTGATTTTCAGCCTTCATATCTTACAAAATACCTGTTCAGTAGCATATCTTCTTGGTGTAGTATGAGATGCTCAAAGTGGTGACACCAGTTTCTTGAATTTAAGTATAGGTATGTTTCCAAATAGATGAATAGGTAAGTACATGGAAACAGTTGAAGAGAGAATTTGCAAATGTGTCAATGATTATAGTCATGGACTATGGTGTTTATGTGCTTAAAGGAAAAATAAAAACAAAAGGATGGTAATTTACAGAGAATGTTCTAGAATATATGGATCCAAACCTCTTAATAAGATGGAAGAATTGTTTTACTAAGCATATTTTAGAAAAGTGGTTGTGTGTAAACTGTAGTGACTAAAAAGTGAAGTGTTTGTTTGCATATTTTACAATTATAAGAGACAAGGTACCACATTGGCTTACCATTCCAGAGCATGGCACTGAGATAGCTATGGACATGTGAGCATGATATTTATATAAACACTGAAATCTCTTTCATAAAGTGATGACAACATCAGAGTAGTAGAAAGATAAATAATGGATCAACAAGGACCAAACAAAAGTCAGACAATACAGAGATCTATGCGCCATAGAATAAAATGTGAGTTTTTGCTGGCACCAGAAAGTGCAGAGACTCTCACCTTCTAGCTCATTAATTAGGGCCCATCTCAGTTTCCAAAACATATGCGTCTACAATGTTCAGAAATAATAAGATTCACTTACTATATTTATAAAGTTGTTACATGTATAAGTACTTACGTGGCTGGAAAATACCAAAAGGGAAATTTTTAAAGTAGTAACCAGATACTGTATAGACTCCTACAAAGAAATTGAATCATAGTAAGTTTCTCATATTTTTCTCCTATTCATAACAGGAACAGAAAAAAAAAAGTTGGTTTTGAAAGTCTCCTACCAGCTCAAAGTACAAAGATGGAGATTGCTGTCTCTGTGCCCCACTAGCATCCATTCTAATTCTGTTTTTCAAATTCACAGAGAGTGAAGACGTTTATCAAAGGCAGGTGCTGTCAATTTCATGTATCATCTTTGGAATTGTCATCGTGGGCATGTTCTGTGCAGCATTCTACTTCAAAAGCAAGTAAGACCATTTCTCTGGCGATTAAAGGTTACATCTAAAAGAAAGCTCTTTATAGTCTTTCTTTATAGTCTTTATTTTAACTCCAAGCAGAGAGACCTTTTGCACATTGGTTCAGCAGTAATATTTGTTGAATTAGAGCATTCCATGGGCCACAGTGAATGTAGGCAGCCATATGCACCTTGGGGAGGGTGGGGTTCTAGTACACACAGTGGAGGAGGTTTCAGATACATAGTGATTGTACAACTTCATCACCTGTCTTCATTAACAAGGACTCAGTCCCTTCCACTAAAGGACTAATTTTCCTCAGTAGGAAATAGGGTGGGGTGGGGGAACCACTGCCATGAACCTAAATGCTATCAACCATTGTCAATAGGAAAAGTCCTTTTCAGAAAAAAAAAATATCTACACAAAAACACCAGTTTACTTTCAAACAGCTTTTGCCTTGTACTCATAAAATTTAAGTCATATTTCATGAAAGGACACCAAAAAAATGTGCACTGGTTCACAGTTTGGGATACTGAACTGTGAGTTTCAATTGCGAAGAAACTACCCACAGATGAAGTCACTTATGAAGATTCATAAAGTAGAATTAAAAATATATTACATGCATATTAATGTGCCCATAACTCTGCTTTTTATGAATGAACATGGATGAAATTTTTTATAGAAATGATGTCACCTGCATTTAAAATAGAAATTACAAGTCAAAGTGTTAGTCTATTGGGTTCTTCATCCTTAAAACGTTGGCTTGAGTGACATGCCTGTGGCCTGCGTGTAATCACAGCCAATATGCAATTGCTTTCCTTTGGCTCATTGTTGTTCTGTCTATTTTCTCTTCCAAAAAAAAAAAAGGACCACTTTCCAGATACTTTATAACCCCTATCTCTATGTCATATATGTCAATTTTTAAAGAGAGCTACAATTATGGCTTTAAATAAAAAATATACAGGCACAACTACAGGATTAGTGACTATTATTTCAACAAACTTTTTTCCAAATGCTTTTAGAATTTCAGAACTATTATAATAACAGTACAGAGAATTCCCATGCACCTAGTGCCCCTATTATTAGAGTCTTGTATTAGCATGGTATTCTTGTCACAATAATCTCTAATAATTGTACTGTGTAACTAAAATCCATATTCCAGCCTTCCTTAGTTTTTGACATAATATCTATTTTTCTTACTCAGGCCCTTATCCAGCATGCAACATGACATTTTTTGCCACATCTCTGTAACTGTTGTCTGTGATTTGATTTCCAAGCATGTGCCAGGAACACTGGGCTGTTAGTGATTAACACTCTGCCCTTGCAACTTTCCAAATTGGGCTTTTGATGCATTTTTCAAGTAAGGTATTAGTCTGCCCTTGTTGCCCTACCAAAGAGGTGAGATCCTGAACTTGCAAAGCCTTATTTGGGTTCAGTTTTGTTCATTTCAATCCAGGATTGATTAGTCCTCTTGCTTTTGTGACAGTGTGTGTCGTAACATAGTGACAGCGTGTGTCGTAACATAGTTGCAGTGTGAACAGAGGAGGGCATTCTGATTCCTGGAAGAATGTGCAGAAAAAAGGAAGGGGTAGTGACTCACCCTCCCCTTCAAAGGAATATCTCCAATAACCAGAAAACTTTTCAATGAGTCCACCTTTTGAAGTCTTCACCAGTGTATCTGAGTGCCAAGCTAGGGACTAAGCCAACACACAGGCCCTTACAGAACATGTACTAGATAAGATGGGAATTTATTTTAAAATATTAAATTGGAAAATAACAAAGTAGAAAATTACAAATATGGTGCTATGACCCACACAGGTTTTCAGCTGGTCATCTACCTGGATGGCAAAGCTGTTCATAGTTGGGTTGGGAGTTTCCCTGCTGTTTTGGAGCTCCACTAAGGTCATATGAGGGTAATGGCCATTGATTCATGTTACTAGGAATATTTCATTTCTGCTTACTTTTTGTCAAAATATAAATTTAAAAAATTACCTTGTAGAATTAAAGAAACTGCTAAATGAGATGATGCTGAAAAGGGCATTGCTTAGTATTCAGATCTGAAACACTTCAGGGTGGCTTGAGTTGTTAACACTCATAACTGTTCATTCCAGAACTTGGAGGTTGGATAGATACCAAATTAAGAGGAGTATTCAAGCCCACAAAGGGTAGCCCCACTCAGGTTGGCATTAGGAGTGCCTGCTTTTAACAGCTGTGTACAAGAAAGAAAATGGATAGGAATATTATATTTATAGAGCAATAAGTAAATTGCTATGAAGACAAAATTAATCAGTTATTTGTAGAGTATAATTTGCAGTTGTAACACATTTAGGCAAAAGATTATAGTCATCCTAACAATGAAAAGAAGCAAGTACAGAATATGTGACATCAGGGCCATCAGTCCTTTTCCCTAGATAGTGAAGGAGCTCTGAAACCAGCATCTGTTGCTGGGGCACAATAAGAAGTCAGAGTATCAATGGAAACATGGTTTCTTAGAAGTCCAAGGTGATGGAGAAGTACACACCTGGATGGTCTCCTTCTATCTGCTTTAGCTGAGGAGCTGTTGTCAACTCATGGTTGCTGAGAGAAGATTCGGTTTTCTTCAACAATTCAGATCCTGAGAGGCTATGTTTGTGCCAGTAAATGGTCTGGCACCCTTGCCCGTACAGGAAGCACTAAGTTTACTTGGTGGTTTAAACAAAAAAGAACACATGGAGTTAGAAGGGAAATGTGGTGGGAAGAGAGTAGAAAGAAGACTTGTAGGGGAGGCATGGAAGTAGATTTGCTAAGAACATCTTCCCAAGTCTGAGAGGTTTATTCCTTGTCAAGTGTTATCTCCCACCTACCAAAACGGAAGGTCCACTGTTAGAACACCCACAGTTCTCTAATGGAGTCATGGATTCCTCATTCCTTTTTCCAACATTAGAGATAAAATAATGAGCTTTGAACTTAATATTCATGCATAAAATACAGATATGTAATGTATAATATGGATATATAGGATATAATAACTTTTTTCAGCTTTGGAAGCCCCAGTTCTAACAGGGTCCTAAGGCATTTTTCATTGCACTCCAAATGAGTCCACTAAGTTATGCATCCGAAAGAGTGAGATATAACATTTTGGGTAGAGAGGACTGGTACTTAGCAAAAAGCTCCATGCTCACAGCCATTTATGTTCTATTTCTCATGACTACTCTGGTATTTTCTCCCTGTTCTTGGTACATTTGCCACTGTGTGACCTCATCAAATGGTATCACAGCAACTATTGCTGCTCTAGTTGGCATAAACCTGGACCAGTGGAGTCTACTGAAGTGGACTAAAGTTTCATGCAACAGCCAACTTTATTCATGACATCAGACAATTTATAATTTGAGGGTATTCTGAGAGTTAAGCAAGGCCAAATAAGCAAGGGTCACAAGTTTAGGCTGCATTCAAAGTCATGAGGACAATCAGTACTTGGAAAATAATAATAGTTGATATGCAATCTGAAGTATACCCACTCCTATTTACTTACTACTCGAGAGAGGGACAAAAAAGTACATTCTAAGAACAATCCATATTATAGAGGAGTTGCTGTCACAAGAATTTGCCTTGTTTTCTTGGACTTTTTTCACAGCTATCAAAATTCTCTTTACATAGCTTTCTTCATGAGGATGTTCCAACAGACAATCTCACACAGAAGGTAGAATTATGGCCAAAACAAAAACTGAGGTGGGTAACATAAGGTGTCAGAAATGAAGACATCTTCCACTCAGAGAAAGTTCTGGTGGAGATGACTGAATCCTCCAGTAATGCCAAAATGAATTCCCACCACTCCCAATAAGCCCATGTCTCCCCATTCACAGTTAATATGATGATTAATTTCAGCCTTTAGCCTTTGCTCACTTGTTTTGATTGGACACTGAACTTTTTAAAAAGGAGTTTCTCTTTACTTTTAACTTACACAGGAGAAAAGGATGAGGTTGGCTGCACCAGACTTTAGGTAACTGAAAATCAAACACATGGCTCAACCCTAAAATTAGGATCATGGAGAGGAGAGGAAATTGTTATAGGTAGAGATGAGTTATCACAATTGGGTAAAGAGAGGGAAACTTGGGAATTTGAATGGCCAGTAAAATGTATACACAATATGGCAATCTGATTCTTTCCATGTGCTGTGGTCTGAGTGAAGGATTCTGGGTTCACAGGTATGTTCCAATGCACTGCTGTTATCTTCTTCAGCAGTGGAGGTCTTTGTCCTTATATTGCCAGCATACAATACAGGAAGATGCTCTCAAACAGCCTGCACTGAGATAACCCACCCAACAGTAGATCAATGTAAGGCTCTGAAGATGGGAGCGAAATTCTACATCCTTACTGCACCCCACAGCCTCACTGCTGGTTTCTCCCACTCCACATTCCCTATGTCACACTTTCAAAGTGGTGACACCACACAGATCCAATAAAATTCCCGAATGTTATACCTATCCCAAGGTCTGCTTCCTCCATAACTTAACCTTCATGACATCTACAGTTCCATTACACACATCCCCTTTATAAGGCATTGCATCAGAGATACATAAAGCTCAGTAAGTTTGGTTCTGACCTTGTGGAGCTAGTAGCTTTCAGGGGTGTATGTACAGACCTTGTAGAGAGTGATTGCTCTCAAGAGAGGAGAGCAAAACCATGAGATGTTAATCATTTCCTCTTTTCCTTTTGCTAAGGGCAGAAGGGGAAACAAAAAAGCAAACTCTTTGTACTTGTGAAAGTAGAGGACTAGGAATGAATGGAATGAAAAAAAAAAAAAAAAAAAACAAAGGCAGATTCCAAGTAAAAGGCCATTTATCCTGAAATATTGCTGAGTCAGGACTTGTAGAAGGTGAATTATGAAAGGATTCATGAAATACATTCAAACATTTTTATGAATAATATTTTTAAAAGCTCGTATTTTCCAGTTTCTGAATTAGGAGATTACAGAAAAGACAGTGTTTCTGTCTTATTTCATAGATTTTTACTTTGTGCTAAACCTTTTACTTCTTCCTGCTGATACATTTGTCTAGCACCCCTCCCCTGCAATTTCCTATTTCTTCTCAAATGAATTCCTGGTGTGTGTGTGTGTGTGTGTGTGTGTGTGTGTGTGTGTGTGTGTGTGTCTGATGTGTGCTGAGAAAAATTTATTTTTATCAACAGGCTGTAGATTTGTTCTGAAGAAGTGGATAGAGTACTTTAACTGGATTAAAGCAATTGAGAGGGTTAGACCTAAAAGTCCCCCCAAATAATTGAAAAGATTAAAGAAATGTTAAAACAGACAGCTACTTCACACTGGGGTTAAAATTCAAAGATGCTCATTACCTTCAAATCCTTTAGAAAGTATACCGCTGTTGCGTGAGAGAGGCAATTAGTACAATCTTTTATCTTTGGGGCAATGTCCTAATCAATTTTAAAGCATCTTTCCAAGGTGCCAAGCAGGCTGGGTAACACAAAGGAAAACAGGAACACTTTGCCTGTAGCTGCCATGGTATCCATGGAAGATAGCGCTTATAAATCCAATGTAAGGAAACAGGCTCAGAGAAGTTTAGGTAATTATGAGAGTAGCGGAAACTGGCCATTGGTAGACTGGGGGTCTCAAGTGTCAGTCCCTCAGTGAAGCCCATCTGAACACTAACTGCCTGGGAAGCTTTCCATATCAGAGGCCTTTTACCAGGGGTTTTCTCCTTGGCTGAGAACTGGAGAACCAAACTTCAGAAAATGATCTCGCAGTTAAGTTTATGAGTCTAGAAGTGATATACCAATGCTGTGAAACCATGGAAAGAAAAGTTTTGTCCACCCTTCTGGTACAGACGTTGAATGGTATAAACAATAAACAACGTACTCAAGGCAAGGGTACTTTTCTTGGGGATTCAAAGTCCTAGAGCAGTCTCTACTCACCCATTTGGAAGCTGAAGGACCTTTTACAAGTGGCTTGCCGGTTCTGAGTAGTGGTTCCAAGCAGAGTTCGCCTCAAGACTGAGTGGTTTGAAACCTTCCACTCCAAACATCCTTTACTGAATGACTTCATTCCTTCCTGCTTTGGCATTCTCATCTATTAAATGGGGGTAGAGTATTACCTCACTACAAAGGTTTATTGTGGAAATAAATAAAACAATGAATAAGGAGAGTAATGTGGACTTTAAAACAATGTGTTGCAAATTAGTGTTTAAGTATTAGTTCATTAAAGGTTAACTCTGTTAGAGAATAGATATACAGATCAAGGGAGAGGGTTTGGTTAGCCTGCATGGGATTCCAGATTTGACCTTCAGTACCATCCCAAAGGAAAAAAAAAAGATAACTATTTTATTATTTGGTTTCCTGATAACATAAAATAAGCTCTCCAAACAGATTAAAAATAAAGTGTACACATTAGTATATACATATGCTACATATATTTGAAGTATATAAATATTAGCATATTTTTGCCAACATGTTAGTCAAGCCCTAGCTCCAAATTTTAACTTTGGGTACTTCTCTATGGCATCTCTACCTTCATGTTAGGGATTGCTTGTACCCATGCATTATAACCATGTTTTTTTTTTTTTATAGTTGTCATTGATTATTGTCCAATATATGATAATGAGTAATGCCAAACTATCTCTAGTCAAAGGTATTTTGGGGGGTGGTTGAAAAGGGATTGAGGGCTGCCTCTGTGGACCAGACTAGCTAGCTTTAACATGTGACAAATATGGATAACTTAAAAATAAAACTTCAAATTAGCAGACAATATCTGTGCAAATATTTATCCACATATTTATATCTGCAGGAAACAAGCTAAACAAATCCAGGAGCAGCTGAAAGAGTCACAGAATGGGAAAAACTACAGCCTCAAGGCATCCAGCACAGTGACAAAGTCTGAGAGCTTGATGAAGAGTCATGTCCAGCTTCAAAGTGTAAGCTGAACATCTCCACATTCCTTTGTTGCCCACCTCAGAATTTTAGGTGCAAAGTGGGTAAGGGACCTGTTACCAGAACAATAGAGTTGTTCAGTACTATAGCAATTCTTGCTTAAATCATCTTGCCGTTGTATGAATGTGTGTGTGTGTGTGTGTGTGTGTTGTGTGAATACTAAATGAGAAAGATGATTCTAACCTTTCATAATAACTGACCTATAACAATGATTTGAGTTTTGGTTGTTTGTTCTATAAACCACTTTGGGTCTTTGTGTTAAAAATGTGGCAGGGATACAATGTCATACTTCTGAAGGCTAAATGACATTCAAGTCTGGTTAAAAAGGGCATAAAATGTTCATTGTTAGGATTAAATGAGAAATGTGGTCACAAAGACAATTCTCTCTCCCTCCTCCCCCCCTCTTCCTTTTTAATTTAAATTAGAGACAAGGTTGTTTTACATATCAATTCCAGTTCCCTCACCCTCCCACCCTCCCCTATGATCCACACTAAATCCCACCCCATCACCTTTCTGCTCCCAAGGGAGTGTGAGGCCTTCAATGGAGTCTTCAAAGTCAGTCATATCATTAGGGCAGGGCCTAGGCCCTCCCTGATGTGTCTAAACTGTGAGAGTATCCCTCTCTTTGGGATCCCAAAGTCCTTTTGTATACTAGGGATAAATGCTGATCAATTACCAGAGGCTCCATAGACTGCCCTGTCTTTCTAATCAACACCCTCATCCAGAGGGTCTGGGTTGGCACTATGCTTATTTCCCATCAATCAGCCTGGGATGCAAGAGCTTCCTCTTGTTCAGGACAGCTGATTCTATGGGTTTCTCCAGCCTGGCATTGACCTTCCTTTCTTTAACTAGATTCCAGGAGTTCTGCTAGTGTTTAGCTGTGGGTGTCTGCTTCCATCAGCTATTAGATAAAGGCTCTAGGATGGTATATAAGGTAGACATCAATCTCATTATCATGGAAGGACATTAAAAGGTAGTCTCTTCACTATTGCTTAGATTATTAGTTGGGTGGGTTCATCCTTGTAGATCTCTGGGTATTTCCCTAGTGCCAGATTTTTCCTTAAATCTATAATGACTCCCTCAATTATCTAAGAAACAAGGAGGACCCTGAGAAAGACACACGTGGTCCACCAGAGAAGGGTAAAGAGGCAAAAGCTCTTGAGAAAATCAGAAGCATGGAGGGAGGGGAGAGGGAGCTAGGAGAAAGAGAAGGGGAGAAGAGGAGGAGGGGAGAGGTGGGCATGAGGGAACAGGAAGATTGAGACAGGGATAGAAATAGAATAGAGGAGAAAAAGAAAAGAGTCACTTCTAATAGCAGGGCTGATGCTGTATATGGGTCTTAAATCTGGAAGCCAAACACACACTCTGCTTGCTTCATTCTTTGAGAAGTACTTTCAGTGGTTGCTGAGATACATTGTAAAATAGTGATTTAAACACAATGGGATGCTATCTAACACATGCGGAGACATGCCTTGTAGGGTTAATTCTTTGCCCCCACATGAGACTCTGCTTCTAGATTCCTTGGGATGAAATGAAAGAACAAAGGCCATGGTGCAAGCCTGGTGTTTGAGGATAATAGGCAATCACCCGGGCCGCATGCATGCCCTTCCAAATGCTTAAATCGCTGAGAATTTGCACATCATTTGTGATTCTAAGAAATCATTACCCAAAAGTTGCCATTATGATGAGTGTAACAGATGTACTTAGCTGATTTAATGTGAAATTCATAAATCTGAATTGCTTCACAGCAAAGTTTCACTAAACTTTTATTCATGGCAATGTGCAGGATTGTTCTGCTCAGAAACAGAGAGAATGCCTTTGCTAATGATTCCTAATGAGTATAATCCCAGCACCTTCAACAGCCACCATGATGAGGACTTCAGTTCCTTAGCAACTGGCCCTGGGGATAATAAACAAAGCCAGACACCTGCAGAAGCAGCAGGGCTAGACTGTAATCAGTAACTTAACATTGAATAGGAAAGGGGGTCCAGCATGAACTATACTTAACTTCAGTAGGTTCAGCAGTGACCAGGCCTGGGAAAGGGAGGAGGAGAGTACTGAAACAGAGTTGAGCAAGGCCTTAATCAGAGGCAAAGAATTAAGAGTTCAAAGGGTTGGACAGTGTAAATGCCATCAGGCAGCTGTGTCTGCTGGTTAGCTGATACTGGGGTCTGAAATGTACCTTCCTTAGCTCTGGGAGGCAGACCCTCTATCCTTCCTGATGATTGCATTTCAAAGAGTGACCACTAGGTCCTCATGAAAACTCCTCTTGAGTTTAGGAGATCCACATTTATAATCATGAGCCCTTTTTAGAAAATGCTTTGGGAAGGGAAGCCAAGGAGCTGTCATCAGGTATGGTGAGAAGACACCTGAAAGGCCTTTCAAGTTTCTGGAGTTTCATTTGATTCCAGGTACTCTATGGCAGAAGAGTCATTGTAGGAAAGCAGAACTGAATGACTGAAGACACAGCTAGTATTTGTTCAGCTCCTCTAGTGTGGGGTCACCATGAAGATCAAAGCATACCTGGAGAGAGGCTATGGCTTCTATAGCCCATAGGCTAGACTTAATGGGAAGCAGTCAGGTCTGTTTTCTGTATGCCTGGCACACACTCATTTGAGGTAACAGCATAATTGCCCAGAGTGACCTCATTATAGTTTCCTTGCCCAGCCATTGTAAGAAGCATTCAGTTTCTTCTCTATTAGTAACAACAATATTAAAAGGAAAATTTCGTTTGTCTCCCTTTTCTTCCCCTGACTTGAATATTATGATTCAAATTACAGTGAAGAAATGAGTTATCTGTGGGGTTCCCAGCATTTGAAAGACCTTCAGCACATATGACTTCTTTAGTACCTCTACCCTTCCTTTGACTCTCCCCAGCTCTCCTCTGTAGCCTACTGGACCCAGGAAATTGTGTTCTTGTTTTGTTTTTTCTTTCTTTCTTTCTTTTTTTTTTTTTTTTTATTTATTTATTTTTTTTTTTGGTCACAGGGTAACAAGAGTCTCTTCTGTATCATTATTCAAGGGACATGCAGATGGCATCTTTTTGTGTCATCATCATTGTTGTACAGGAAAAGGACATGAGTTGAGAAATATCTGTTTCCCCACTGTTCTTTCTGATAGGTTCTTAATAGGAGACAGATGAACCAGAGAAAAGAGGTTAAGATATGAATACCTCATTAATCTAACACACTGAATACTCCGAAGCAAATGATACAAAGGGATATTATGAATTTAGGCTTAAATGGTATTTTATGCTAAATGAAAGAGGGCTTTGGGATTTCTAGGAAAGGCAGATTATGGAAATATGGGCAGAAACAATATGGGGTAACTGTTCGGGTTGTTTTGCAGATTTTAATGTCTGCATTTTTGGTAAGATTTGTTGAGAGGCTTTGTCTTCTCAGACAGCACACAGTTATGTGTTTGCACATGTCGACTTTCCTCTCCAAAAGGAAAATCTGGCCCATTTGTAGGGTTTTTCCTTCCTTCACTTGTTCTCTGTGACCTTTAACTCAAATTAGTCCATATCATAAAGAAATATTTAGGGTCATGAATTCTGCCTGCCTTCTACTTACATAGCATTTAATTGGAGTCCCAGGAGATAATCAGTGGAAATGACTGAACAGAAGTTGGGAGACCAGGAGGCTAATCAGGGTGAAGGTAGAGCAGCTTGCATTGAAGAGCTTAGATATACCAAGTGACTGCATCATATGCATTGCCGACTGCCACTCAAGAGATTAAATGAGCAGGTTCCTTTAATTAAACTAGACTGAAATGAACTAACTTCCTCCCACAAGTTCATGTCAACTTCAACCCTAGTAGGCAATGTGGATGGTTGCCAGTTTTACTAAATCTTTATCAACATTTCTTATGCTAATTTAATAGTAGAAAATGATATTCTTTGAAATTTGTATTCCATTTGATGGTAAAGTATAATCTCTGTATATATTTCTGGTCAAATTTCTTCATTGGTGAATTGCATGCTCAGTTTTATTACAGGAAGCAAATAGCAACTTGCCTGCAAATTTTTCACATTGTAAAATGGGAGGAAACAGTGATGGAGAACAGATATTAATTAGTCCTTCAAAAGGAACATTGTGTTACATCAGTGCTTTCTAGAAATTCATAAAAGGAAGGATTCAGGGAGTCTGGGCAGTTGCAGAACAAGAACCATACAAAAGACTTTAGAATTTTTAGGTGGATGAATATTAAAATGTGAAAGTACTAGAGGTGATTTGAAAACACTTTTGCTTTGTAAGTTTACAGATATACATATATTTATATCTACATATTCTTTCTGGCAAGAACTATGAGGAAATAGCAACCTCTGTTAAACCTGACTGTAGTGTAAGTAATCTACTCAAATAAGACTCTGTAACGTGATTGATTTAAGGACTAATGTTTATTAGGAGAAAAGGTCTTCAGACTGTGATGGAGTCTTGGGGTAGGAGAGAATTAGGAAGAAACAATTCATTTAAAACATACTAAGAAAGGCTTTATATGCAAAGTGAGGCTCCCTTTTGTAACTCTGAGAGAAGTGCCTTAAGTTGAATAGGTTAGACAGACAAACGGAGAAAGAGAGAGGGAAACAGAGAGAAAAATTAGTCTTCATATAAGAAATTTATTAGGAGAGCTATTAACTCCGGGTGCAGTATGACTGGGTTATGAAGGGATGCTCCCGTTTGGACAGACCTGGTACCGTGTGTTCATTTTTAAAGATTCCGAGGAGAGGAGGGATGTTACATAGCTGGAGCATCAAGCTTAGTATGTAAGCCATGCTCCATGCCTACAGGCCAATGACCTCTGATTCTAGAATGGGGGGAATTAGCTCATTGTAAGAACTATTAGAATGATAAGAATACATAGTCACAACAGGACCTTCTATCTCTTTGTAGCAGCAACTTTACATGGGGGAGAAATTGAAATGAGGCTGGAAATGTACTAACTTGTAAGGTTGACTATTTAACCTTTGTACAGAACAGTAAAA